CCGCTATTTTGAGTTTCCCTCACCGGCTTGTAAATATTTCCGCATTATTCGCGGTATATGTACTATACATATCGCAGTCGGGTCATGTTCACGTTCTCAAAAAATAAAATAATTAATAACCTTAAAATATATTGACAGAGTGCTGGACATCGGAAATCTTTAAGGAAATATGAAGGCAATGACCTCACAGAAGACCGGCGTGTGGTGGAAGTGTTATATAATTTTACGTTTCACCTGGTGAGTGAGTTAGCCAGGGCAAAATTTATTAAGTAGTAGTGGGGCCCACTGTATTGCATTTGGCAACGCTTTTACGACCCTACGGTTGTTGCAAATGTTAATGGGCGGCGGATATCACTTAACATCAGGAGAACCGTCAGCTCGCTTGCAAAAAAAGGCAACTCTACCTTTCAACCCATACAGGTCGAAATCAGATCACTACATAACTTACGCCCGGTTTCTGAAACATTGATGATCGTAGATGTCAACTAATCAGCTATTCAAATAATATTTTAGTTGTCAAAATGCTTGTTAAAATCTTTGAATTGATCATTCTGATCATTAAGGAGATCATTCTGATCAATTCAGAGAGTTTAACCATACTTTTGGCAACTCAAATAACATTTGAAAAGCCATTTGACAGCTGGTTAGTTGATATCTACGATGATCAGTGTTTCAGAAACCGGGCGTTAGTGATTAAAGCCGCCAGATATTAGAAAAATCTAAGCATCCCTTTGCCAAGTTATGACGTTAAAGTTACTAAACCTCTGTAGCAAAGATGACACTAATACGCACATCGGCAAGTTCATGGTTTGGACACACGACACTTTGCTTACCGACCGTGGAGCGTTTGCTGTATCTTCCCACGGAAGATTTTACTATAATATAATTTAAACTTACGTAATTTACAACCCAGGCCATTTCAGAATTCTTAAATAAAGTTGATTTAACAAAAGGGTTAAGACATAATACGATACTTTGTCTCAATTGTCTGAAAAAGTTTTTCAATCGTATTAATGAGGCTTTTTAAGACTATCCTTTACCACTCAAGCAGTATTGGTATTTCAATTTGGGACTAGATATCGGTTTTAACATTATCTTAGGTTTCAACCTTCCACTTTCTGTCTTTCTGTCCAAATGTTACGCCTTCAGCCTATTCTACGCAAACGTAGTCACGGGCAGCAGCTAGTCTAGTATATAAAATTCTTGTGGCAACTAAGTAGGAAAAAATTCAGCCATCTGCGAGATATTCGTGCCCTTCTGTTGTAAACTAAAAAAACTATTGTTAATTCCCTTGGCCGTGCGGGCGAAGCCGCGGTTAACAGCTTGTTTTGTCATCATATACCATTTGGACTGCTACTTTGAACCTATCTGTTACATTTCTTTATTAATGGGCTGCCTGACATCAACTCTCCTTGGAAATAAACACACATTGAATAATATGCCGGTGCCGAATCTAATAGCTAAGCGACTGAGGTATTTGTTTAATATATGATACATTATTTTCTATCGTTATCAAATAGAATACCCGATTCTATTATCTATTCTATCTCATGTAATTAATAACTATATCGATACTTTTAATAATGACAGGTTTTAATTTTTCATCTAATTAGCTGCAGTTTTTTTATGCTTGGTCACAATGAATCTTTTTCAATCAGCTCTTCATCAAGTCTTTTACGTCTCATTTTTCATTTTATAGGTATTTACTTAAAAGATTTGGGTACATACTTAGAAACACGGGTGAATAGAGCCAATAACAAACAAACAGTTAGTGTTTATGGTTATTTCAAGCTGTTGAAATGTATTGAAATTAAAATCAGACCCAGTTTAACATGCCACGCCAAGCCATATTTAATACAGATGAGGTGAAGCTGGACTTTATTTCATATTCAACGAACATAAAAATCAAGCGTTATCTCCATACATCTTCGGTCTCAACGTATTACGATCGGGTTTACTTAGGGCTGGTAAGGTCGATTAGAATCGAATCCTATTATATACGACTTCGCCCGAACTATAAATATTGTGGAAAGAAAAATACCGATATTTAAAACTACAATTTTTTTTCAGATTATGTATTTGTGCCATTTCAACATTAGGTCGCTGGGGTAGAAAAAGCAAAGAAAGAATTTTTTTAAAAGAAATATGTCCTATTCGCCGCGGCTTACATTACAGGAAAAAAAAAAAAAAAAAAATAACATTCTTTTCTCGCGCAAAAAATGTATGCACCAAAAAGGTGCAGCTAGCGTTCTTGGCACCATCGCGTGGTATTAGGTTTATTGATGGCAAACAATAATTTTAGATAGATTTAATCTTGTAAATATTAGATCAATAAAGATTAAATATCAATTTTTTTTACAATTTCAGCATCGCTCGGTAGAAGTGAGTTTTGATGAGTCTATAGTTGGTAGAACTTGAGCAACCTTATTTGCGACAAATGAAATTTAATTACAAATTACCTGTTAATTACAAATTACCATACAGGTAATTTGCATTTAGACAAAACACTTAAAAAAATCCAAATTCATTTACTCATCGACATAAGAAACATACATTCCATCTAACGATAGACATAATTTAAAAAAAAGAACAATCCCGTTGCAACGAATACATTTGGCTTGGCTACCACCCTCGTGGTATTCAAACCTTGAACCCGTTTACGATTGGAATCGACTCTAGTTGAAATAGATATTTTCAGAGTATTATGGATTGCGGTAAAGCGGTTGTATGGTTTCGGCTGTTGCATGAACGAGTTGACTCGAACAAAGAAATGTCATGCCCTTTCTCCGTATCGGTGGTGGATGACTCCGTGGCTCAGTTGCCAAGGTATTGGCTTCGGCGCCAGGTTCGTGGGTTCGATTCCCACACGGGACAGCTATTTGTGTGACCAACAGATAGCTGTTTCGCATCTGGGTGTTTGTCCACGTGCAATTTATGCTTGTAAAACGCCTTTACAACTCAGGATCATGTTATCGTAAAGCAAGGGTAATGCTTTAAAAGATAAGTACACAGAAATATTTTGATTGGTGTTATCACAGGGTCTGCCTCTTATACATTGGCAAAGCACCAGCAACCGCTTTGGTGTTGCGAATCTCCATTGCAACACTCATTCATACGCAATACTCAAACATGTTAGCTTTACATTGTTTTATCGAGCTAAGAAGGTAGAAATATAAATGCTTTTACCAAATCACCGCAGTTTCACTTTTCACAACAACAACAACACTGGTATAATTACTTATTTTATCACTTTTAGATCACCAATGAAACACCACTCTAACGATTTAATTTGTGATACTGATGTGGCAGCACTATCGCGTATACTTCTTGTTGACAGCTAAAGAATAAGAACTCTTCGTTCTGAAATGAAATGCTTCGCGCATTTTCATTTATATCTCAAAGAATAACACTTCTTTTAGTGTTGCCAACAATCTCAAGGCATGACTTCCTTTAGTGTTGCCAACATATACGACGTTGTTTTGCTCGGATTTCGCCTAATGTGTAGTACCACGACCTCACAGAAGTTTCTGGTGAGTGAGGTAGCCGGTGCCTACTTTTTTAAATGTTGGCTAAATACTTTAGGTATTCAGCTTCAATTTGGCCAGAATCGAATTCTAAACCCTGGTTGGAACCTACGCACAGTTGCCAACAGGCATCGCCGCACCCTTTAGGGTTGTAATCGAGCGGGCGAGCGTCCCGGAGTTCCCTTTCCGTACCTAATTCACCTTTGTTCTTATATAGAGCGTGAAAATCTTTCTTCTCGGCTTGCGAAGGGTCCGCACGATATGAGTATTTGTCGCTTACTGTCACAGTTCGGTCTTCTACGGTCTATGGCTGGACAGTTTGAATATCTTAAAGTCGCTTTCGCAACCCGAGCCGAAAGTGTTCTGTTCATTCTCTACTGGTAATCAGTGTTGCATATATATAATATGTGATAAATAAAAAAGGAACAGCCTATAAATATCCTTGGGCAAAGGCCTCCCCTGTACAGATTATCAGGGCATAGTCCACCACGCGGCCCCACTGCGGATCGGCGGACTTCACATAATTTCGATACATTAAATCAATATAGAAAAAATTACACACACTACCATTTATTTGGCTCGCACACGCTTTTTTTTAATGGTGTATTCTATTTGAGAATAGATTAATGTTGTTCAAGCTTATAATTAAAATTAATTATGGTCGATTTTCGACCAATCGGCGTCCACTAGTATATTTATTTTTACGGTAAATATATGATATTTAAGATATTTTATTGAACTTTAAACACAAAAATAGGATATGATTTTTCCACGCCGCGTGGTGGACTATGCCCTGATACCCTCTGTATAGAGGAGGCCTTTGCCCGGCAGTGGGACATGTATAGGCTGATACTTTACTTTTTTTTACTTTTATAGATAACATAAAAAAAATAGTAAAAACCAATTTCCCTCTAATTTTCAACAGCTAATTTTCAGCCAAAGTCAGTGAATCTACTTTTGTTTAAAAGAATGAATAAATAATTATATATTTCAGAGATAAAATACGAGTGGATTTTGAAACATCATTTCGAATCGATTGCCGCTGGAAGCGTAACGCAGGCCTCGTGACCCCTGACCTTTGCCCCAAACGGCGGCATCGAATAAATGACGATGAATGTACGCAAAATTTAAATGTCACTTCGCTACTCGTATAACTTTACCCGGGATTTTTATTAAAAAATATTGTTTTTGAAAAATTGAACGTTCGTTGAAATTGCTTCTTCATATGCTATCATATCTAGAGGAATCTTGAATCACCCTATCTAGTAAAAAAAAGTGTATCAAGATATAAGCATACAGAGGGACAGACATACAACGGGACGACTTTGTTTTGTACTATGTAGTATCTATCTATCAAGTTAAAAAAGATAAAAATTAGGCTAAATAAGAAATGCTAATCGTTAATAGTCCTAAGTGAACGTGGCGATAAAAATACAGCATGCACTTGCAAGGAAGCAGTTAAAGCGTAAAGGTACTATGGCGAGTCCGAGTAGGGAAGCTCAATTAAGGCGCAGAAGGCTCCCCTCGCATCCGACCCCCAATGGCGGTTGCCACTTCCGCCGCGGACCGCAGAGTTTTAAGGCATTGGCCATCGGATCCTCGCATGTACTTCAAGGTTTATGTCTACGCGTTGAAGTTAGGATTCAAAAGTTTTGACCTGCGTTTTAGTAAAAAAGTTAAGGAAATAGTAGACGAACAGGCAACACACAAAATGAAAAATCTCAGGTCACAAATAAAAACGAAACACACGATTTTCGTCGGTGTGGCAAGGCCGTGTCCAAGTCTGATCCAGGCTTGGACACTGCAATATAACTTCGCATGACATTAACCGCCGAAGAGTTAAATGCGAAGCTGGTGCTATGATAATTTTGAACAAAAAAAAACCTACTTCAAACAGGAAACTATTAAAACATTGTCAACGCCTATAACATTTGAGGATTGCCCTCGATTTATAAAAATCGGTTCAAGTAATCGGTAAACGAATTAGTTATCCGCACACGAACACACATAAAAAAAAATAAAAGTATATACGATCGAATTGAGAAAACTCCACCTTTTTCGAAGTCGGTTAAAAAATCTTCCAATGCGATTATTTCTTTTTTTTTTAGAATGGAATAATTTTTAATCAAATTACAAAGTTTTTTTTTTTACAAAATTACAAGCACATTTGTGTTAAACAACATACTGAATACTAAATAATCTATGAACTGAACGGTTTTGGCCTCGATATCGGCTTTTGTTAAACGTCACATGGGAACGTCTTAGATGGTTCCGTGGCGCGGTTGCCAAGTAATTTGCTGCGGTGTGGGGGGTCGTGGGTTCGATTCCTACAAGAAACAACTATTTATACATGAATAACGAAACTTTACTAAACTGTGTGTAAATTAAAACTAACTATATAAATTAAAATTTATACACAACTAATTGTGTGTTCATTTAAATTTATGTTTATATAACGTTTCGATTGAAACGTTTGAAACAATGAAAAAAGTCTACAGGTTTATTGATTTGTTTCAGAAAAAAAAAAACCACGAAAGTAAAATTAGTAGAAAATTTGCAGTGAATTATCATAAAAGGGAAATTTTAAAAAGCTAAGAACAACTCGGGAAAATTATCTACTTAAAAACATCACGTTCGCATAATGTCGTGAGTATATCATGCAACGTATCGTGTATTAAATACGAGTAGTGCGTAAGCCCAGACTTATAGTACGTATCGTAACTATGAACACGGAAATGTCTATTCCTAACAGGGTTAGTTAAATTCTGAATTTATATAGCACCAGCACAGCGTGGAAGTTAACTTTTTATTTTGAAAATAACCTAGTAGATTAAAGTAAGGTAAATTAAAATTAATATCGGAGCCTGAATAGGCTCGTCGAATACAACAAAACACAGGTATTTGTCCACGTTTAAAATTTTCAAGTTCCCCAGTTTTCTTTTACGTGATAAAAAGTAAAAAAAAAAAGTAACATCCTATATATGACCCACTACTGGGCACAGGCATCCTATTTACAGAGAATATATAGATAGTCCACCAAGCGGCCCACTGCGAATCGGGAGACTTCGCATATCTTCGAAATATATTGTTTTTATTATTATGTTTCCCATCAACGCTGAGCATGTGATAAGCCGGCACTTAAAATTAACGATTTCATTGGTGCCGCCACCGGGGATCGAACTCAGATAACTCGAGTATGTGGCACTAAAAACGAGCGCCCGCTCAGCGAGCTAACGCGATGATCAATGTGAAATCATCAAAAGCTTGGCGCTTCCATAAACACGAGAAGAAAGAAACGAAACGCAATAACGGTGGAAGCATACGACGGAGGCGTCTACGTCACAACGCACTACGCGTGGCGGGCTTCACGCAGGCTCTGGTGCCCGGGACCCGCTACTGATCTCCTACAGTCCCCCCCTCCGACCCCCCACCCCGCGCAGCCTCCGCCCACCCCACGCGAGGCCAGATCGCGTTCAGCAGTCGCGGCGAGCGGACGTGCGGTACCGCCGCCCCGGACACCTGTGGCTCGACTCCCGGTGCGGGTTCGATTCGTGATCGTGGTGGCTGTGCAGTGCTAGTGGCTGTATGTGAATGGTGCGACGGCAGGAAGTATCTCGGACCGGTTAGGGCGGACGGGACCGGCCACTTCCGGCGCCTCGAGTTGATACGGAGGCACCAGTGGAATTATATATCGATCAACTTGACCAATTAGTTTGTTTGTTTTGTGTGAAAAAGTGTCTAGAACTTGATTACAGTTTAAAGACAGTTAAAACCGTGTTGAAGACGTATCGTCTGCGAACTAAAGGAATCCCTTACGGATGTGTATGTAAACTTTGTTTAATACGTAAGTGTTACCTTAAATACACATATACTCATCCTATACGTAATATATCACTACATAGACAAAGTCGTCGCTGTCTGTCTGTCCCTGCGTATGCTTAGATCTTTAAAACTACGCAACAGATCTTGATGCGGTTTTTTTATAACATAGAGTGATTCAAGAGGAAGGTTTATACGTATAATACATTGCACCCATGCGAAGCCGGGGTGGGTCGCTAGTACAATCTAAATTATATAAAGTAAGCGACTACATTTTTCAATGTTTATCTGTTTAGTATTGAAAAGGCAGTAGTGCCGCTTTTACGGAACAGATTTTAGGATACAGCGTCAACCCTCTAAGGCTGCTTAACAACAATTTACATAACATAAACAGATACTTAAAATATGTCTAAATTAAAACATAAAATACAAAGTGACGGTATTTAGTTATTTTGAGTTACTCCCCGATATGGTATTTTGCGTAATTCGATAACAGGAAGCTACCCTCGCTCCACAAATAAAATTGATCCCACCCTGTACTGTTTCAGCCTCCGGGGGGAATTAATTAACCTTATTTGTATACTTTTTACACTCGTCCAGGTAACCGGAACGGGTTTTCGGAGCATGTGAAAGAGGTTTCTCACCCACTCCGCTTTTTTGCCGCGACATAATCAAATGAACATCGGATGTGGGGAATACATATCGCCGTACATTGATGGACACGTATGAACGCTTTTTAAACGTTTTTACGGTATCGAGTCGATTAAAACGCTGGTGTTTCGAAAACTCGTCGGCTCCATATGAAAACATTTATGACAGAATGTTTGAGAGCAAATGAATTGAATGAACGTATACATTGTGAAATTTTGCCAGTGTTATCACCTCATTACAAACTTTTATGGCCCTTAAAAATAACCTTTAAGAGACTGTACTTACTGTAATTATATTTTTAGTAATTTATAATATTACGCAATGACTAATACATTTGGCGGTAAATAAACATTCAGTGCTTGTTATTCTTAAATGTAATAAAATGGATATTAAACAGATTAAATATAAAATGTCCTAAATATATTATTCTTTAAATTATATTAAATCGTACTTAAAAACGTAAATAAATGACGCAATGTTTAGAAAATACAAAATTAAACGTTTTTTAATCACGAATATGTAGATTTCTCGTAGAATCTTCACATAGACATGCCTCGATAACTACTGCGACAACTACAATTATGTATTTCTCACAAAAGATGGTTATCCAAAAATACGACCTCAAAGTAAGTGTCGTGCAAAACCCCTATAAGATTTGGAGTTATCAATCGGCCACTATTAAATTGATTCTGTTGAGTTGCTGAAGACAGTAAGTCTGTTATTGGTAAGCAGCAGAAAGCAGTACTCTTACTTATTGTCTGTCAAACCACTACCACCGGTTCGTGAACATTTTTTCTCCATTATTTGATGAAGAAACATGTTTACAATGTATTAAAGTCCACTTAAAAGAGCCTGTACGCCGTAGCTTCCAATCCTAGTAGCCCAAACCTATCAGTGTTTCACAATTTATTTGTATAAAAATACACAGTTTACAAAAAAACCCTTTAAACTGATACAAACAGGAACTTATTAGAGTTTCAGCGTGTATGAGGGCAAAACTGCCGATTTCTGATATTCAAAGAAAGATTAACAGACGTAAGCTTGTGTGATTTTGTTATCAATCTAGCGAAGGTCAGGCTTAATACATTCGTGAGACTTGATGAATGAATGAATTTAATACTAATAAGCCAATATGAGTCTTTCAGCGACCGTAAATAAACTGCCAGACGTAAATAAAATTAGCATTATCTGCTAACTTTGGTCAACGTCAAAACAAAAACACTCGATAGCTAGTTATTGTTGCTATCTTCATAGAAGTATGGTACAGCATATATACTTATAGCCCACTGCTTGGCATATTGGTGCCGGCACTGGGACTCAAACTTGGATCCCTCGAGTATATTTAATTATTATTATTAGCTATCATTTTATACGTGAAACGTATTAATAATACCTAGCTTACGGATTTTTTTTTTATCCGAAAACTACTTTCATTGAATATGTATAATATTCGTGTAAAATAAAGAATAAGAAAGCGTCAATAGGTTTCACTTGATTATTATTACGACTAATTTAACGGTTGGTAGTTGGTAGTAAGTAAAGTAAAGTATCGGCCTATACATGTCCCACTGCTGAGCAAACGCCTCCTATATACAGAGGGTATCAGGGCATAGTCCAACACGCGGCTCCACTGCGGATTGCGGACTTCACATATCTTCGAAATATTTTTTTTTTGTTATTATTTCGAAAATATGCAGGTTTCCTCACGATGTTTTCCTTCACCGCGGAGCACGTGATAAGTCAGCACTTAAAGTAAAAAACTTCATTGGTGCCGGCACCGGGGATCGAACTCAGGTTGCTCGAGTATATTGAATTAAAGGCGAGCGCCCGGACACTGAGCTATCACGGCTCTTGCTGTTGGTAGTAAGTGAAGCTTAAATAAAGGGTGGATAAACAATTGCATGTAAACCTAGCATTAAAACCGGGATCAGATTCGACGCCTTCCGATTACAATATAGATAACTTATCTAAACGCGAAAGAGATACGACTGATATATCCGCAATCCACTTAACAAGCAAACTCGGTACGGAACTCGATGAGTTGTCCAATCATTGGATTTCCATTAATGATTGTCAATAATTAAATCAATACAACATACAAGCTGTCATTATCATGTTTAGCAGTATTCAACAAGCGCGTATGTCGCCGCGTATTCTGTACAAATATAATAGTTAGTGTTTTTTAAGCAAAATGTCTGAGAATGACAATACGTTGGTGCCAGGCAAAGGGATTCTAACTTTTGACGTCTAATGGGAGACGAAGACTATCATAATATAACCCATATTAGCGGCAGTTTTATTAAAAAAAAAATTCTTTCGCAAAAATTCGATTAAGCTGAAATGAAGTATACAGCTAACCATTTTAAATAACAAACGTTTCGTTGAAATAAAGAGTAAAATATAATAGTTAATCACACTATTCATAATTTAATTCTATTCAAAATTGTTTTCTACTTTTTAGCTCGGTTATCTACAAAAGCGTATTTATTAGTTTTTTTTTAAATCATTACTTATTTTCTATTATTTAGTTCTGTTAAGTATAAAAGCGTGTTTTTTCATTTTTTAACATATTTATATGCGTACTTGCCACAAGGCTACCGGGTATCGGATTTGGAAAATGGCTAATCCAGAAGGTCCTGATCAGGATAATGGGAAAAACTATTTAAATTATTGCATTGTCTTGGGTCTTTGAAGAGTGTGCCAAGTTTGATTCAAATCTGATCGTTCAAATTGGGGTAAAATCACGCTTAAAGATTCCGTTACATTCATACATACATAAAGATGAAAGTAACAAAAGCGTGATGAAATGAAACATTTCAAATTTAAATTCCAAATCAAACTTGTCACCAAAGCAAACTCAAACGTTACTTTGCTGGTTTCTATTCATTCCGTCCCAGGAATAATTTAGCGTAAATACCAAATTTACGGCTCAATTGATCCTAAAGTACAAATTGGTTCAATGGTACTCAAAGTATTGAACTGCTCGGGGGACCTCCTGTTGGTTACTTCGAGTTATTTATTTCATAAAAGTTAAATGGTCCTCTAACCAAGTTATCTTTCGTTATTTATAATGAAGTATAATACGATATTATGTTATATACTTCATTGTTTACATGCCTTTACCTGAATAGATATTAAATAGCATAACAAAAAGCTAAGCTAAAACAAACTGTAGTATAGTAAAGTAACATCATAATATGTCCCACGGCTGGGCAAAGGCCTCTGAACATAAGGTTTTAGGGCATAGTCTACAACTTTACCCGACTTCGAAATGACAGACACACATCTTCCAAATATTTTTTTTAATATTATTTCGAAAAATAAGCTGGTTCCTCACGATATTTTTTGTATGTTTAGAAAAAATTCTATTATGTAATATTGACAGCTTATTTTATTTAAGTTGATGTAGTAGTAAGTGTCTTACTTGTTTTTATTTACTTTTACGACACTTTTACGACACTTTTACGGTACTTTTACGATACTTTTACGATTTCGACGGTATTTCAAAATGTTGTGAAATTGACGCCAAATTTTTGAAAATTATTCAAATTGACGACCCGATTGGCGTAGTGGACCTGTCTCTTACGTCAGAGGGTGTGGGTTCGATCCCCACTACTGGAAATATATTGTGTGATGACTTTGCCTAATTTTGTCCTGAAATCTGTTTTTATTTACTAGAACTGGTTGTTTTTGTTAGTTTCAATTTATATGACCAATGAATAACTAGAAAATTCAGGAGAGGTGACGAATCTAAGAAAAGTTTTCGCGAGATTTCGTATACCTACCGTATGACTAAGCAGGAAATCCAAAAATTCCGTAATTTGCAGACGAATATTAAGTCCCTCGAAAAGTTTGAGTTAATAAAATGCTGCGAGCAGTTTCGGATTTCTTTATATTGATTTTGTTACTCGAGACAATTCAGGTCTTGGTTTCGAAATTTTGTATTAACGCAATCTATACTAATATGATACAGCTGAATACTTTGTTTGTTTGTTTGAACGCGATAATCACAGGAAGTACCAGTCGGATTTGAAAAAATCTTTTTGCATTACATAGCTCAATTTTAATGGAAGGTATTTAACATCATACTACGACGTACAGGAGCGAAGCGGTAACCTTGTTTGCAGACGAAATCGCGTGGAACAGCTAGTGTTACATAAGTACACTAGCGGCCCGCCCCGGCTTCGCACGGCTGCAATGTATTATATATATATATATAAACTTTCCTCTTGAATAGCT